AGAAGTCATTCACTTATGAATGATATGGGAGCTATGTGGGTAATGGGTATGGGATGTGGCCTAAGCTAAGGTGAAGGTATCATGATATGTGGTCATGTAATTCATGGCTGGAGTCGAAGTAAAAATATCATCACACGTGATCATGTAATCCATGGCTAGAGCTGAAGTGAAAATATCATGCCATGTGATCATGTAGATTATGGCTGGAGCCAAAGTGAATACCATGATGCGTGGTCATGTAATCCATCACCGGAGCTGAAGTGAAAATATCATGACACATGGTCATGTAGATTATGGTCAAAGCCAAAGTGAATACCATGACGCGTTGTCATGTAAATTGTGGGCAAAACTGAAGTGAAAATATCGTGACACGTGGTCATGTAAATTATGGATGAAGTTGAAGTGAAAATATCATAATTGAGTGTGAATACATTTAAATGGGAGTTAAAATGGTTACATTGAATTTGAATGAGCCTTTGGAATGTAATCGACAGTAAGTTAGTCAGTTAGCCTACAACTGTCCTCGTGTGACGTGCTATAATAAATGATCACAATAGTGAATAACCGCAGAATTCGAAAAGACATGATCGTAGCCGTTAGATGCGAATGATCGTGATTGTTGAGGCAACTAGGGCCTTAGTATAAATAGGCACACGTAAGAAATTTTGTGCTTACCTTCTTGAATTCATAGCGAAGCACTACAGAAATCATGTTAGAGCACCTTGTTGTCAGAGCTTACATTTGCCAAATTCGAGTTTTCAACTTGAGAAGTGTTTTAGTTACTCAAAAGTCTTCAAGTGTTTCAGTTCGACCATCACAAATTCAGGTAACCCCATGAGCTCTACTTCTTATTTAAGTGAGTTGTCTGATATAGTAATAATTCTCTCAAACTTAGGGTTAAGTCCAGTTAGGGAGGTTAGAGTTATATCAAAAAGCGAAATAAAGCGTGAGAGAGAGGTTATAGAGGATCTTACTTATTCTCCACCTTTTACCCCTTGTAGTGAGAGTTATGAGACCAAATAAATGTCTTTTGAGAAAATAATCAGTATAGCCATTGTTTTGAAAATCGTATCGTATCAGATCAGTCGGTTGAACCAATTAGACCGATGCCCAATAGTAGAAACGGGTTGAGTTGGCACTCAAAACCATTTAAGGGTTTAAACCACTTAGAATTGCTCAAATCGTTCAAACCAAGAAGAATCAATAAACCATCTAATCGACTGGGCCAATTATTTGGACAAAGTTGGCGACATTTGTTACTGCCGCTAGGCTTTGAACACAAGACCTCATTAAGTTCTGTGGACTCATTTGCCACTAGAGCGACGGAACCCTTTGTGAAATAAGCTTATAAAGATTATTCTTTAAAGAATAACGCAAAGACTAAAGGAAACACTTGAAGTTACTTCCATGAGATTGAAACTCCTATTGTCTTGCATGTTTAGAATAACTTCTGCCATTTGATTCGAACCAAGTTAATTGAGTCTTTTTGTCTTGAAATATATTTATTATAATATAATTATATAAATAAATAAATTTGACACATTTGGGACTCGAATTCAAATTATATATGGAATAGATTAAAGCTCCTAACCACTAAAGCTACTTCTAGCTTTTTCAAATGAATTGCATTATATTATATTTAGTATATATCTTCAAATTTTAATCAATTAGGTTTTTTTACTAATTAAACCGGTTCAACCACCAAAATCGTGAACTGAAGGTCAAAACAGTTTGACCTCTGGTTCAGTTTTCAAAACAATGAGTATAGAAGGGGAGGATGAGTTCCAATAGTTGGATTCTAGTGATAGCACTAGCGAGGTTGGAACTTTTGGGAGTGAAGGCAGTGGGGAAAGTGGGGGAAGTGGAGGAAGTGAAGGGAATGGAGGTGAAGAGGAGACAATTGCATCTAACATCTTAAAAATGGATAATAGTAGAGGTCGATGCTATGATGAGGTGGGAGAAATGGTTGGGGAGGTGGTGGGGTATAAAGCTTCTTGGAAGAGTAAGAGTAGCCTTACACACTTGGTGGAGAATTATGGCGTCACATCCTATGTGCTGTTAAGACCAATTGAGGATCAAGAACGGGCCTACTCGATGCCCTCGAATCATTGGATGCCTTTGTATGCTCACTACATGGCGACCGGGCTCAGATTTCCTATTCCAGAGCTACTAGTTACATTGCTAAAAGAGTATGGTTTGGGCTTAACGCAGCTCATCCCAAATGCAACTCAGTTGGTGATGGATGTCCTAGTATACTGCCAAATTAAAGGTGTGGCCATCCTAACAGTGAACGTGTTCAAACACTTTTTCTTAATTAAGGGTAGGAGTAATAAAGAGAAGGGATGGTTTTACTTCACACCTCGGGTGGCAAGAAGTCGAAGTAAAAGTTTGTTTAGTTCAGGTCCTTCTTCCATCAAAAGATGGAATGACAAGTTTTTCTTCATGGATGACACAGAGTGGGGGAGGATGAATGCAGAGGTGGAGAAGCTCTACAGGTGGAACAGGAAAAAAGCCAACCCCAACAAGTATAAGCTGGATGAGAGAGAGCGAGAAGAGGTGGAGAGGTTGGAAAGAGGGGATGGGAAGGTGGCAAACATCATACACCTCACTAACTTGAAAATGTTAGACGTGGCCGAGATCTATGGAAGAAGCTCACTAAGCAGAGGTGTGTTTTATTTGAACTAAAATTAGTTAGAATGATAGCTCTAATTAAAGTTTTTTAACTATGTTTTGCTCTACAAAAGAGATGAACCAGCTTATGTTTGGAGGTAAAAAGGTGAGACTCTTAGAGAAGAGGTCGAAGGCTCCTTCAGTTGTGGTGGAGAAAATAATGAAAGGTGGGACTTAAAGACCCCACCAAACTATTAAGGGAGTCTAAGTTGAAATGGGGCCCAGCTTGAAGCAAAGAAGGAAAAGGGTTGATGAGGCTTCAGCTCAAAAAAGGAGGAGAATTGAGGGGTAGCAGCCTCAACTTGAAGATGAGGCTTTGATTGAGCTTGTATCCCAACTACCACCTATGCAAATTGATCCAGCTTTGTGGGAGGTTGGGGTGGTGACGCATGGAAAAGGGAACAACGCCCCTGTTTTGAAGCAGAAATTTGGCCTTATGGAATCTTCTGGCAGGACTGCTACGAAGCAGTTTATCAACTCCACCTTTCCAAAGGTGGATCTATAAAGAACAAGGGATGAGGTGGACACAAGTGGGGGAGTTGGTGTTCTTCGACACGCCTTTGAGGTAAGAGTTGAAAATCATGTTTTTCTTTTTCTTCTTCTTCTTCTTCTTTTTTTGACCTCAACTCTTTTTTTACAAATGCCAAACCTCGTAAATGCCCTAGTAGCTGAGTACTTTAGTTGTCTCAAGGAGCAAAACAACTTGGCTAACTAGAATGACAAGCTCAGCCAGTAGAAGGGGGCAGCCAAGTAGAACTTCAATGATCTAACCTCTGAGCCCGAGAAGAACATGGAGGAGTTGGCCAACGCTAAAAAGGTTGCTGAGCTTGAGGATCGAAAAAGGAAGATAAGTGAAGAGAATTTAGCTAAAAGGGAAAACAAACTGGTGGAGGTGAAGAAGAAGGCCAAGCTAGTTGTCCATAACTCAATGGAGCAGCATGTCTCCAACTTCATCGAATCGGCCATGTTTTCGGAGATCGTGGATCTCTACTGCATGCCCACGTTGGTGTTGGCCTTTACCGACTATAGAAAGAAGGTAAAGGCCTAGAATCTTGAGGTGGGTGTAACCAAGATCACATTCAGACCTTAGGAGTCATGAGTGGAAGAGGACAGAGACAACAAGACAGTCAAATTCTAACCTGAAATAAGTCTAAAGTGGGAACAAGATGAGGCTGGACAAGCTGTGTCCCTTTCATGTATAGAGTACAAATTCATTATCGTTGATGAGGAAGAAGTTGAGGTGCCTGAAGGTACCAAGGTCGGGGACAATGCTCCGAATCAAGAGATGGACCAACAATATTAAGTCATCGACTGAGCTTGGCCAGCTCATTTTTAATTTCCTTGTAAATTTAACTTTCAAAACATTTGTAATTTATTTTGAATTAATATATATTTTGATTTGAGAAGCTTCTCTCATTTTTAATATCGAATGCATGATTTTTTACCTCGACTTCAGAAGTTAAAAAAAACCATTACTAACACAACTAAAGTAAAACATAAATTAAAGTAAAACAAGTTACTGACCTTGACCTCAAAAATTGAAGTAATACAACTAAGGCTAACAAATAAATGATAAAAGTGAGGCAACAGCTCATTAAGGATAAGATTTCTTCAAATTGTTTCCATTCCAAATTCTGGGAACCCTCTTTCTCTCGGCGTCTTGAAGTACATAGACGTTGAGGTGAGGTATTTCAATTATTACATAAGGACCTTTCTAGTTCGACGCTAATTTACCGAAGTGAGTTTCAAAACTGGTAAGCCTTGCCATTCTTAGGATAAGGTCACCAACTTTGAAGCTTCATGGTCAAACTCGTTTATTATAAAAGCTGGCTAACTTTTGCTTATATATTAGCATTCTAAGTCGAGTTGCTCGTGAATTTTGTCTAAAAGGTCAAGGTTTTTTCCTAAGTAATTACTTATTTCAAGCTGCATTGAAATGGCTAACTCTCAAGCTTGAGACTCATTTTCGATAGGAATGACTGCCTCCGTCCTAAAAGCCAAGTGATAGGGAGTTTCTCCTAATTGAAAGAATTATAATTTGAGCTTAGTTTTCTTTTACAAGGTATGACTTAGGTTAACATTACTAAAGTAATGGCGAGGTTACAATAAGTGGGTGTACCTGTAGCTATTTGACTCGTAGTTTGGTATGCCTAAAGGACGTTATTCAGCTCATCTATCCACTTGGCTTTGAGTTGATCCAACCTCAATTTGATCTCTTCCAAGATAACTTTATTAACAGATTCAACCATGCCATTGACCTCTAGATGGTATACTAAAGTGAATACCAATTTAAACCCATAGCTAAAACAAAAGTCTTTGAAAGAAGTGCAATTGAACTGAGGTCCATTATCAGCAATAATCTGATTTGGTATCCCATATCTGCAAATAATTGAACTAAATACAAAGCCTTCAATACTTTTTGAGATTAGGTTGGAAAAAGCTCGAGCTTCCACCCACTTCATAAAATAATCAACTGCGATGACCGGATGCATCACTCCCTTTACTCCCTTACAAAAGGACCCAAAAGATCTATGCCTCATTAGGCCAAAGGCCATGGTGCAACCAAATTAGTGAGCTTCTCTATTGGCTGATGGGTAAGATGTGCAAATAATTGACATTTTTGGAACTTCTAAATAAACTTATTCGCATCTTTTTGCATGTTAGGCTAGTAGTACTTTTATCGAAGTACCTTATAAGCCAAAGTTCGAGCTCTAACGTGACTTCCGCACACACCTTTGTGCACTTCTCATAAGGCATAATCAACTGCATACGGTGTCAAACAACGAAGGAGAGGGAGCAAGTATGACTTTTTGTACAAAACATCATGAATTACGATATATTGAGATGCTTCCCTTCACAACTTCATCTCATCTTACTTGTTGTTCAGGACAATGCTATCTCGGAGGTATGCTTTGATGGGATATGTTCAGCTGGGAGTTTTTGGGTTAATGCTGATCTCCATCATCCTTGGCTTTTGGAAGCTTGACTCATTAAGGGCTTCAACATAAATTGATTTCATCTTGTTAGAGCTATTAGAGACCAATTTTGACAAGAAGTCTACTTGTTCATTTTGTTCTCTAGAGATCTTAGTGAGTTGGAATTTCTCGAATTGCCTCTTTAGTTGAGAGACCACAACCACATACTTCGTGTGAGTGGCATCTGCCACTTCACATGTAGAGTTCAGTTGGTTAGCCACAAACTAGGAATCACTATAGATCTAAATGCCTTTTACTTTCAGCTTGACTACCAAACAAAGTCCCAAGAGTAGTGCCTCATACTCAACCATGTTATTTGTTGCCCCAAAATTAAACTCCAATGCATGCTTACTTAAAAAATTGTCGAGTCTAATCAACAATGCCCCGGCACTTGATTCCTTACCACTAAATGACCCATCAATGTAGAGGGTCTATAGTTCTACCTTTGCATATGAATTCATCTGATTGGAAGTGCATTCCGCCACAAAATTTACTAAAGCTTGAGCTCAAACTATGGTCCGTTACTGGAATGTAATATGAAATTCTCCTAACTCCACTACCTACTTTGTCAATCTACTAAAACATTTCAGCTTCTATAAGATTTGCCTCAAATGTTGGTCTGTGAGCATAATGATCGTATAAGACTAGAAGTATGGCCTCAACTTCCTAACCGAGGTAACAACTGTAAGAGCTGCCTTCTCAGCTATTGAATATGTCTATTCTACGCCTTGCAACACCTTACTCATGTAATACACTGATTATTGGTGCTTCCCCAGTTCTCAGACTAGGACATAACTTATTATCATGTTTGACACCCTAAGGTAAAGGTAAAGGATCTCACCTTCTTCAGCCTTTGTCAACAAAGGTGGCGAGCTAAGATACTTCTTGAGCTCATCAAATGCTGCATGACATTTTTAAGTCCACTCAAATTTCTTGGGTTTCCCAACTTCATCCTTCTAAGCTACTAATCTTTGGATTTTAAAGAAAGGTAAGCATTTGTCTGTTGATTTGGATATAAATTTGTGCAGAGTTGCAACTTGCCCAATTAAGCGCTGCTCATCCTTAATAGACCTTGGTACCTCCATCTCCACAATGACCTTAATTTTCTCAAGGTTGGCCTTTATTCCCCTCCGTGAGACCATGAACTCCAAAAATTTGTCAAACTCAACACCAAACACACACTTCGTTGAGTTCAACCTTATACTATGTTTCCTCAGGTTGTCAAATGTTTCGGTCAGGTTAGCCGAATGATCTTTCTGTCTTGAGGCTCTTGACCACTATGTCATTTATGTAGACTTCGAAGTTCCTACCAGTCTAAGCTTGAAATACAATTATGACCATCTTCTAGTATGTAACTCCTGCATTTTTGAGCCAAAAAGGCATCATGACATAACAGTATATCTCGTCCCCTACATAAAATGAGGTATTCACCTCGTCCTCAGGTGTCATGTGAACTTGATGGTACCTTGAGTAAGCATCCAAGAGACTCAATCTTTCATTTTCAGATGCAGCTTCTATTAGCTTATCTATACTTAGCATAAGGTAGCAATCTTTTGGGCAAGCATCGTTAAGATTGGTGTAGTCAATGCACATCCTCCATTTTTCATTTGACTTTTTCACCAAGACTAGATTGGCGACCAATTCAAAGTAATCCACTCACCTCACGAATCTTGCTTACAAGAGCTTCTGCACTTCTTCATTGATGACCTGAAGCCTTTCTCCCCCAAACAGGCACCTCTTTTAAGCTATTGGTTTCTTCAAGAGATTGGTGCTCATCTTATGTATGGTTGTTGAGGTTGGGATTCCAGGCATATTTTTCGAGGTCCAAGTAAATACATCTTTATTTGCCTTCAAGAAGTCTATGAGCTCTTCTCTATCTTTTAGGCTTAGCTTTGTCCCAATCTGTATTTTTTTGGTGGGATCCTTATCATCAATTTGGACCTTTTCCACCTCTTTAACCGGGGTATCTCTTGTTTGATCTTTAGGTCGATTATCTGAGAGCTCCACTCCCATCACTTTTTAGGTATTTAGGTCCTTTAGCGGAACTAGTTCCGATTGAGTTGTCTCATTATCCTTCTGAGGTCAAGTGACGGAGGTCATGTAATAGTACTTAGCTATCTCCTGGTTGCCCCTCAGAGTTGCCACCTTCATTGGCGTAGGAAATTTCATGCATAGGTGAGATTGCAAGATGACAGCCTAAATTTCGGTCAGAGTAGGTCACCCAATGATGACATTAAAAGAAGTTGTCATCTTCACAACCAAGAATCAAACAGAAAGGGTCAAATATGTCTGACCTAAACCAAAGGCTACATTGAGCCTTAGCACCCCTCTAATAAGGATTGGCTAATTGTTGAACCTGCAAATAGGGCCATCATACTTCTATAGGAGAGTAGAATCAAGGTCGAGGCTCTCAAAACAAGAATAGTACATGATGTCAGGAGCACTTCTAGTGTCGACAAGGACACGTTGAACTTCACAATTGTTAACAATGACCGAGGTCACTAACGTGTGATTATGTGATGTGACCACACCATTGAGGTCAGCCGAAGTGAATGTTATATGTTGGTTCCTCCACTCTTCATCATCAATCTTCCTCTTCTGAGCTCGGTTCCGGTGCTTAACTTCTTGTACATACAGTTTTTATTGTTTAGAGCTCATTCCTCCTACTTTTAACCCACCATTTATCATGTGGATGATTCTTCATGGTGGGGGAAGTGGGGGTGGGGCTTGCTAATAACCCACTGCAAGCTCGATACTTGCCTCTTGAGGTCCTTAAGGCAGTTGTTCTTATTCTCGCACAAACTTAAGCTAGTCTTGATTGGAGATGTACTCATTTAGCATCCCTCTATGAGCTAAGCCTTTAAATTTGGATTTCAAACTGTTACATTCTTCTATGGTGTGGCCATAGTCCTGGTGGAAATCACAATATTTATTGTGGTCTTTAGAGGTAGGCTTCGCATAGATAGAGGTCTCTTCAGCTCCATCTTTTTTTTTTTTATCTACATTAGAATCTACGACCTTGGTAATGTGAAAGGAGTCCAAGTGATCTGCTTTGCTAAAATCTACGAAGTGTTGGGATTAGGTTTATCTATTTTGGGGAGCAGAAGTGAACCTTGGTTTTGCACAACCTTGAACTTATTTCTGCTCTGCCCCTCTTCTCTCCATATCGGACTTTTGCTTTCCTTGCTACACATTAATTTACAAGACAAAGCATACTCCTCAGCTATAATAAACTTATGAGTACTCTCATTGACTTCATCGAATGTGATGAGTGGGTGCTTGATTATGTTATCTCGAAACCGCTTATGGCTAAGACCTTGGATTATGGCAACGATCCTTACTGCTTGATCAAATAAGTTGATTTCGAGCATGACATCATTAAACATGTTCATGTGGTTCTTTAGAGACTCGCCTTCCCTTTGAATTACCCATATAAGTTTAGGTGTTGTCTTCTTAATTGACTTGAGAACTTGGTGGCAAAGACCATTGCCATCTTGGCATATGAATTGATTGAGTTCGACTGTAAACTATAGTATCATATTCTAGTGTTGCCGTATAATGTAGAGGGGAATATCTTGTACATCAAAGTATCTGAGGCGTTTTGAGCCTACATAACAGAAATAAAATGCATGTAAGTGATCATCAAGATCTTTGGTCCTGTTATATATCTCAAACTAGGGCATCTTGAATCTAGAGGGGTATTGTTCTTGGATGATGTCAGTATTAAGGGGAGTAGGCATTGAGGTCGTGCTAGGCTAGGTTGGTTGTGCATTTCGGTTCTTGACCATCATTTTTCCAAGTTGTCTAACCTCTTTGAAACATCTAATAGTATGGAGGTGGAGGTGTCATGTGGGATTGGCTTTGGGACTCACTTCAGGACGGAGTTGCACTACAAACTTGAGAATTAGTAGTTTGTTGGGGCTGATGATTGGTTGTTTGGTTGGCTGGGTTTAACAAGTTGATGAGGGGATCACCAAGGTTGTCCTTGGCCAACAGCTGTGCGAGTACAAGTTGGAATACGCCGAACTGTTGCTGCATGACATTGAGCTAGGCAGCTATGGTGACATTTGGGACTACAGTTGGGTGTTGTGGATTATTCTCTCCTATTCCTTCTACATGCTGATGTTGGGTAATAGAGGGTGGCACAATCTGAGGCATGGGATTACCACTAGAAATTGACCTCTTCCCCAACCCTACAGGGGGTTCCCATGCTAAGTTGAACATGTATGAACCCTCTTGAAGCGGTCACTGACAAGGCTTTTAGGTCGGTTTCCCACAAGGGACGCCAAATGTCATTGTAAAGAACTCCAAACTCTTTTTTAGCTTGAGTCTTTTTTTCGGTTAACCTATAAAGCCCCAAGATTAGTCCTCGAGTAGACACTCTGATGCCTAATTGAGCAATAATCAGGTCTACTAAAAAGAAGGCAAAGAGAAAACTTGAGATCGGTTTCAATTACCTTTGGAGAAGGATCCTTGAGGGGTATTTATAGCCTTTAAAAGGGTGTCCATGCATTCTTTCTTGTGGAAAACTAGGATCATATGTGTCAATCATTGTAGAAATCTCTCATAAGAAATCTAAGTAAGTACGAAGTTACTGTAGAGCAAGTTCAGAGGGGACAAGCTTGACCTCGACTGAGTTCATCACAATTGGCTTCAAGTGGTCTCCTCGAGATCATACATTCGAAATAGTTTAGCTTACTCGAGATAAGTGACCTTGGACTATCATTACAATTATGATTTTTCAAAAATAAAATTCAACTACAAACTTGAGCCATCAGCTTTATTGGTAACCTCACCAAGTGACCTAACTAGTTGGCCTAAGTTCAAATCACCTGGCTTACATCCCTCTCCCCAAAGCCTAAGTAACTATTGCATGTGTTCAAAATAAACAAAAAAAAAATTAAAATTCTACACCCAAAAAAATAATAATAAGTATAATATTTGAGAGCTTGTTAGTCTAATGGCAGCAGGTAGGTCCAACCAAATTCCTTGAAGATCTTTAGTTTTATATGGGGTCAATCCAAGGTCCTGGCCTCAGATCTCCCGTATCCAACCATATCTTTATTAATTACTTCGTTGACTTATGGTTTCTCCGATATCTATAATATTCCTACTCCTACTTTGTAGTTTGTAGTACCTTTTTGAACCAACTGCTTACAATTTGCCAAATATTTCGTTGAGAAATTCCGGCACCTATTTATGTTTCTTTTTACTTTAGCCAACTATTAGTACTCATTATCGTATTTGCCAAATATCTTCATGAAAAATTCCGGCATCCATTTAGAGCTCTATGTCACCGACGAGCTTTGCTCCAGCTCCAGCATCTTCTAGATGCTAGGATGCGATCGTTTCAAGAAAATTAGATACTGATGGAAATTAATGACATTTGGACATTAAGATAGATTGCACTAATGAATGTAGTTATAATCACATATTAATTTGTTAAAATTATAAAAATTATTTAATTTTTATATTAATTTAATGATTAAAAATAATTAATAATTAATAAAAATAATTAATATTTATTATTTAATAAATTAAAATATATTTATCAACAAATATTTTAATATATTATAATCAATTGTTGAAAAAATTTTATAAACTTATAAAATAAAATTAAAAAAAAAAAACTAAAAACTCATAATAAATATAAGTGTGAAGATAACCACAGCCACTACCAGGCCTATAAAATTTGAGTTGAGAACCTTGTCATTAGAGGTTGCAAAATTGAATCAATTATGAATTCAAACTCAATCATGTTTATTTACCTATAAATTATTAGAGTAAAATTCATATGTGAGGTGAAAAGTCAAGACATATGAAGAGATTTCACATAAAAAAAAAGAGAGAATAAAAGTCGAATATAGATATAAAAACTTATAAATTTAATAAATATATTTTTTGAGTTTAAAATAGTGTGTCTTTATATGTGTTCATATTTTTTACACTTATATTTTTGAACTGATATAGCTAGTTAATTCCAAACATGTGGTATTAGATTTTACCAAAACAACATGTGGTATTAGAGTCGATAGTGCAATTAGTATACTACTTTGTGGTCAAGATGGGTTCAACTAGAAATGTGTTGCAAGGCCTATGGAAAAAACGACTCCGTAATAGTCCCATGAGAGGAACTAAAAATTAAGACATTTTTGCAAAAGTTGAAGACTTTGATATATGTATTTGGCATGGGGACTGAGCTTCATAGTTGCTTGCACCTCTGAGGAAACAAACCACAAACTCACATGTGAACGGGGAGTAGAATGTATATGTGAACAGGGAGATACAAGGATGGCATCTCTCCCGATCTGGCGACTCTCAATACAAATAAATGCTATGGTTTCCATGAATAGACATTTCTCATAAAACCTTCACCACTAAATAGAAGAGGTCGCTTACCATAGGCTTCTACTACAGGCTTTTTTCTTTAACAGATTTTCTAAGTTAATTTTCCACATCACATTAAAGTTCAAAATTTTTAAATTTTTGTTTAAAACATAAGATTTGTGAGAAATTACTATATAGAAAAATCAAGATTTCTCTACTTTTTTTTTCTTTATATATATATATATATATTGTAAAAATATTAAAATAGGCCAAGCAAAAATTGGGTTATGACATGTACCTACACCAAATAAAATTGTGTAGGTATAGTCCTTCTTTTTCTACAAGTTTTTCGATGTGTGTGAATATATTTTAAATCTAAATACTCACAAATTGTAAACCATAGTTAATACCTCTCTTGTAAGCCTGGCAAACAAGCACGTTGGATCAAATTCAAGTTAAGTCAACCTAAATGACGGGTTATACGAATTGAGTTGTAAACGAGTTAAGGGTTGAAAAAGTTCAACCCTAACTTGCCCCGTCCAACTTGCACCCACATGTTGATTTTGTTTTCATTTTTTATAACTATTTTTATTAATTTTATTATATACAAATAAAATTATATATATTTAAATCTAATTAAAATATTGTAACTCATTAATACTAAGCACTTTATAGTCTCAACTACAAACATTTAAATTAAAATAAATCATAAAGTTATAAATAATAGTAAGTTGATTAACAATATTAAACTTAAAATATTTAATTTTCTTGGAAAATAAAGTTTTAATTTTACAATTATCTTGAAACAATATCAAGGAGTTTAAGCCCTTTTTTTATGATGAAATTGCTCCTCCAAGAACATCTTTCACTAAATTATTATGTTTATATCCTAATATCACATCTTTAATGTTTTTAGTTGCATTATCATTTAATTCATGATAATTGGTAATTAGATTAAACCCACATAATTTCTAGAGAAAGAAGAAGAAATTATGATTAATAAACACTCAAAATAAGTTCAAAACCATTTGAGTAATGAAAACGAAATTGAAGAATAAGAATTAATAAAGAGAGTTACCAATAAAAAAATAATTAAGAATAATAAGTATAATATTTTTAAAAATAATAATAAAATAAAACAAACAAGTCAATTGTCAACTCACGAATTAACTCTAATTCAACTTGTGATTCATACTGGTTGATATTACGAATTATCTATAAGTTATAGATTGGGATATGTAGATCCTAACCCATTTTTACGGGTTGGATTAACGGTTGGATGCATTTTTACCACCTCTACTCTCTTGTGTGTCTATGCCAAGTAAATTGTGTAGGTAGCCTCTTTTTCCTACGGCTTGTTTATGTATATAAGTATAACTTAATCCATCTATCCACCAATTGTAAACTGTAGCTAATGGAGATCTATACCTATAAAATATTGAACATAGGTAAAAAAAAGCATAGATATATGGTAAATTTGTGGTAGTGTCTCTCTTTAGTCTCATTGAAAATAAACTATTCATGTTAGTGACTAAGGAATTTATAAAGATATCGCTTCTCTTCAATCTTGAGTGTTCTTTACTATATATTTCTGCATCAATTTCCTTCCCTGAATTCTCACTGGTACACTAGGGAAACTATTTCTAAGTGGCCTAGTGGTTCAACATCCAAGGTAGTGCCCTTGCAACTTGTATTTTATCCCACCTTTCCCCACAATTTCCCATGTTCAAAGAGAAAAAGGAAAAAAGCCCCTGTATGTATTTATGTCTTCTCTTCTCCCATTTGCACTTACTGCTGCAGAGTCGAAGCGAGAACAAAGAAACCTCGAGGAAGAGAACAAATCCTTTCCTTCACCTTCACGTCTCCATTAATGTTCTCTGCTCCTCTCTTCATTTAAAACCCTAGTGTCCTCATATCGTCACCCCTTGCCGTTGACTTCCGTTCCCTTTCTCGGTCTTGAAGTTCCTGTTCCCGCTCCAAACTGAGCCAAACAAGGAAACTAGAAGAAACTACGCAGGTTTTCTCTCTTGGGGGTTTTTATTTTGATTTTCCTTCCATGGATTCTTGTGAAGATCCTCATCATCAACAAGAACACCAGTCAAAGTGTACTATGCGGGTTCCTGGGCCTATCATTGTAGGCGCAGGGCCATCGGGTCTGGCGACCGCCGCTTGTCTCACCGAACAGGGAGTGCCCCCCCTTGTTCTTGAAAAATCAGACTGCATAGCTTCTCTCTGGCAGCAGCGCACCTACGATCGTCTCAAGCTCCATCTCCCCAAGCACTTTTGCCAGCTCCCGCTTCTAGATTTTCCGGAGGATTTCCCCAAGTACCCCACCAAGCAACAGTTCATTTCTTACATGGACTCTTACGCTACGCATTTCTCAATCCGACCCCAGTTCAACCAAGCTGTTCAAAGTGCGGAGTTTGATCCCGAGTTCGGGTTCTGGAGGGTCACAACTAAGGATCGGACGTTCATTTCCAGGTGGCTCATTGTTGCCACCGGCGAAAATGCAGAGCCTGTGATGTCGGACGTTGCCGGAATAGAGAAGTTCCACGGCTCTGTTTTGCATACCAGTGCATATAAGTCCGGTTCCGAGTTCAAAAACAAAAGGGTCCTCGTCGTTGGCTGTGGGAATTCCGGCATGGAAATCAGCTTGGACCTCTGTCGCCACAATGCCATCCCTCACATGGTCGTTAGAAACGCAGTAAGTTCAAATTCTAAATCCCCTGTTTCAGATTTCTTCATTTTGTAGAAGAAATTTAAACCCCTGTTCAATTAATCTTTCTTCTTGAAGGTGCATGTTTTGCCACAAGAGGTGTTCGGCTTCTCAACATTCGGCATAGCCATGACACTTGTCCGGTGGTTCTCTCTACGGCTAGTGGACAAGTTGCTGCTTCTAATCGCCAACCTTACCTTGGGCAACACAGACAAGTTAGGCCTCCGACGCCCCAAGACCGGTCCACTTGAGCTTAAAAACATCACCGGCAAGACTCCCGTCCTCGACGTCGGGGCACTTTCACAAATAAAATCCGGTAAAATTAAGGTAATTAATTAATCACCATTAACCCATTAACTTAATTTCTCCCCCATTCATAGGGTTTTTAGCTAATAATGTTAAGGTTTCTCTAGGTGATGGAAGGGGTTAAGGAGATAACAAGAAATGGAGCAAAATTCTTGGATGGACAAGAAAGAGAGTTCGATTCCATAATCTTAGCAACCGGGTACAAGAGTAATGTACCTACTTGGCTCAAGGTAAAAGGAACATTTGTTTTTTTTTTAAATTCTCTTAAGTCTTTAGTTCTATCTTCTAGTGAATCATTTATCGCTTTCAGCATTTGGATACATGCCTAGAGGCAGAGAAGCCTGCAAATCTCTGTTTTGTTTCCATGCAAAAAGGCATGAAATCAGTTAAGGCCCTGTTTTGGGTTTTTCCCAGTATACTTAAAAAAAATAATAAAAAGGCGAAGCGAATTGCGAATCTTGGTGGGGTTGATCATTGTTGTGTACCTATCAGGAAAAATTATGTGCCATCCGAGGATTCATATTACCAAACCATTCCCTAGCAACGAACAAGCGTTTAGATTTCATGTTCTTAAAAGAAGTTTCAAGATTTTGCTTGACCAATTCTTAGAAAACTTCGAATGATTCATGTTCCAAGCTCAAGATAAATAGCCTTATTTTTCCCAAAAAAAAGGAGAAAATTCACTATTTGCACCATTTTCCTTATAGATCTTAAAATGGTGTGTTCTTATTTTGCAGGGATGCAAGTTTTTCACCAAGGACGGGATGCCAAGGGCGCCGTTTCCCAATGGTTGGAAGGGGGAGAACGGACTGTACACGGTTGGGTTTACGAGAAGGGGACTCCTAGGGACGGCCTCTGACGCCGTTAAGATTGCTCGAGACGTTGCAGAGCAGTGCAGAACGATGCCTACAAGGGATCCCAAGACAAGCTGTAATAATTTCCCCTGATAATAAATGTACAGTAAAAATGGAATTAACTCCTTTTCCGGCTAATGGTACTTAAAAATTTTACCAGGGTTGAGTTTTCTCTTCTTTTTACCCTTTTGTTTTACTCCTACTTAGCAAATCTTGTTCACAGTACACTGATAAATTTCGTGTGGGGGTAAGTTTGTTAATTATTAGCTTACTATAAAATAATTTCTATATAAAACTAGGATATATAACTTACACTTTAAACTTTTATGGTACAAAATACATCGTATATCTAACATACTTCGGACAACAAAAAAAAAAATATCTTGAGTAATTAAAAATTCAAGATTTTAAAAAATTAAATATTTTAAATTTTAATTTTAAAATTGATATAAAAAGTTAAGCAAAGACAAAGATTATATTTTATTGTAAAATTTATTATTTAATGTATAAAAAAAATCTAATACAGTTGGGTTAATTAATTAATCTTGGGTCCATGCCCCATTGGAGAAGTGCATCAATCCCCGACTACGTGCTGGCTTCAATTCACCCTCCCTTACCGTTGTAGTAGTTCTAAGAAAAAAAATTCATAATAAGGTTTGAATTTAACACTCCAAGTCTGAAGGCCTCGCATATCAAAAGGGTACGAAGGCTTCACTTTAACTAATAAGTTAAGGCTTCATGACCCCATTAATTTTTTTGATCAGCCCTTCGTGATTCCATTCCATTACAATAAAATTGAGTTGATTCGCACGTTTAACTTAGTCACATTAATTCTAAGTTAATTAGATTATTTCCGTGGGTTACAATTTTAAATCTTATAAATTCTCTTTCTTTTATCTCTTTATCCATTCTTCCGATTGTAATCATATTAAAAAAAAAAATTAGTCAAGAAAATGAGCTTAACTCTCAGCTATCATTATTATTACTATTAATATTGTTAAAGTAACTAAAATTTATTTATATTATAAATAGTATTTAAAATATTTATTTATTAATTTTAGTTTGTTATTAATTAATAAATATTAATTATTTTATTAATTAAATTAAATAAAATTATTATTTTTAAAGATAATATTAACTCTCAGCTATCATTATTACTACTATTAATATTGTTAAAGTAACTAAAATTTA